ACTGTCAGTTGTTAATGTTTCTGCACTGTTTCCTGTGTTTTCAGATTTTTTAGCGACCCCAAAGCACAGTCCGCGAAGCCAATGTAAATTACGTTTTCCGTAGCGGTGGGTTTCGCCGAAAACTTACTGAGATTTGTGGGTTCTCTTATCGTGACCGCTGCAAAGTATTCTTCACCCGACGTTTATGGTTGCTCTGGCATTTCTCAAAGCAAGGAGTTCGAGCGATTTATTTGATCGTCGTTGTGGCCTACCTTCCTCGCCACCACGAACGGCTGACTGAATGAATGAATCATGGCTGCCGTACGTCGGCAACATATGGTGTGTGCGCGTTTCGTTGTCGTACTTAAAGAGAGTGTTCCGGATTTGGTGATGTTGAAGCAAACATCTGATGTGATTAAATAAGCCCATTTATTACTATTGGTATGCTTCTAAGTGGAATACACTTCTCTAGACGACACAAATTATATTTATAGTAGGCATGTTTCTCGATACGTCACCATCCGATTACGTCATCTTACTTTGCACAGCATTGATTGAGAGCCCAGCAATGGCGGTTATATTTAGTATGGCGTCATGAATGCCTGGGTGACCTTGCAATAGTCCCCGCGAAATAGTCTGCACATCTTTGCGGGCGTTTAGCTCAGACGGTAAAGAGGTTTAGGTCTTCAGAAGTCAGGGCCGTGAACTGCACCGAATGATCTTCAAGATGGCTATTTCAGTTCAAAACCCAATGCTTATGTGAAACAACCCCTTTAAAGGGAGTGCATTGAAGTTATTCTCTTCTAAGTTACTCTTTTAAAGTTCATAAAGTTTTCTTTTCACTCACAAGTGAATTTGACCTTGGCGCCGATCTTTGAATTGCCGCTCTTTGCAAACTGTCCTGCAATCTGAAAGGCAACCGTCCGTCGCACCAACTCGCGATGTACGCTAAAATTGCATCCGCTGCAATTGCAAACGATGGGAAGAGCGAAATTCGCGCCCCTACCTGCACCGGGTGCTCAGTGTGACCCATAACGTAAAAACCGTCAAAGCAACCAATTGTATATCCCCATCTCGTGTCCAAGTGGCACCACAACTTTGCCAACACCCGCTGGCACATATGATACCCTATCTTACTTTGCAAATTTCGTGTCGTATCCCAAAAACAGCCTGTCGTTGTTGATATATGGTTCCGGAAGTGCGCGCGTGTCTGACCGTTCCTCGGTCGTCGTTGAATTTGCGCCGCCCATGTTAAGCCTACAGAGATGTTTGCGACCTTATTTCGCTCACCACGCGATTTCTTTGCGAAATGTAGAGTCAAGCGACATAGACAACCGTCGCCGGCAGCACAGGGTCTTGTGCAAAATCCCACGTACAACTTATCTAAAATATGCTCAGTTGTTCATAATTGCACATTTATAAATTATTACTGTTGCACACTAACAATGATCTATGCCGGGAGATGACGACAACAATGGCAAAGACAAAATGAGTTATTACATGTGCTACTGTGAACGCCAGCGTCAGCTACTTGACAGGAGATCCCGTTCCGAATGTCTACCCCAACATGTGGAGTGACTGGTCACTGTGTTCTCAGGTATATTTACGTTGGAGCTGAGAATCTTGTCGGTTTTCAATAGTTGAATACCGGGATTGTTGTCTGATTGACATATCAATACACAGCATATGCAATGATAACATTTATCCACAGAGGTGTTACCACCCATGAAATGGGCCAACCAGCAATTGTGTCAATTCAGCACAGCTGTGTGATTGTATTAGACACACTTATTAAGAAATGAATGACACTTTTAGATGATGCAAGTGTTTGATATGATGCAATGGTATGCACACCTATTATGAAATTAGCCAAAGGATGCAGTATTTACAGTAGATCATTTGGTGTCAAAAATTGGATGATATGTCTGCATAATTCAGTGAATGTGAAACTGTAAGTTTATGTTTTTTTCCAGGCCAGAAGAATCAGCGTATGTTAATTATTGGTGGGCTGTGATGAGGGTCGTCCCACCTCACCTCCACCTAATGTGTGGTTTTCATTGGGTCTCGACACTACATTTTGACAAAATGCTATTTTTATCTTGCAGTTTTGTGTCTTTCATCCGATAGTCCAGTAGATGCCATGAGGTGATGCCCAAAGCGGGTGGTTGTGGTGCAATAGTCACTTTTACCATAGTGTTTTTGTGTAATATTCTAGCAACAACATGAGAACGGCACCTAACATTTGCTAGCGCATGATCCCCAAAACATTGCTGGGGAGGCCACCATCACAAAATGCAATCGTTCCATGCAACTGCATGCAGACAAAAACCTGGTATTGAACTAAGCGAATGAAAAAACTGTGCTCGGTAAACGTATCCAATCCAAGCAGCAAGCGTTGTAGTTAATGGGTGCAATGGTTTGTGGTTTACCTAAAACTTACAGTTGGTCAGCAGGATACAGCATCTTTATTATTTATGCTGGATCCTGTGCTGAGGTAACAAGATCATTTAGGATATCGGGCTAACAACTTCATTATGGCATTACAGAATGGCTGATTGTGCAAGGGAGGATTTCAGAATGGTGACGTTTGTGGAAATTGAAGTTTTATGTCAAATATTGCAATATTTTCAATGCTCAGCTGTAACCCAATCCTCAGCACTGTACCTTTTACACAACATCATGGCATAATTTTTATCAACACAATTTCCTTGTGACAATATGAATAAATGCTGCGTGCAAGATGGTACGGAAATATCATATCAACACTACATTTTGCATTTGAACGAAAATGTGCATAGCTCAGGCGTGGTTTGGGGCAATCTAAGATCCATTCAGTGCTCTCATTGCCTTGAACCAATGCTGTATATGTTTCTGATAATAATGTATCTTCTAAATCTGTCTAAGCTGCCTATTCCACGCCAGCTGCTTTGGTATACCTTTCCTACTCTGGGGTCAATCGATGGAAGCTCAAGTTATAAATTACAAGGCTTGGTGAGGAAACAAAGCTGTGTCATCACATCAAAGCTTCAAATGTTTATCGTGCACGTTTTGTGGTGAGGAAGCTAGCTTTTCAGGCTCGGTTATTCGGCGTAGCCAGTGATATAATGTTTGTATTCTCTTTACACCAAGAAATCTTCCTGCTGATAATTTTGGGGAGCGTGGTCACTTAGGCCATAGGTCTGTCAGGTGTTAAGGCTCTTCAAGATCAATCAAAGAAGATTTTAATTTTTTTGCATACCAGGGTCACTGTGCTGTACCAGCCTGGCGTCATGGCACTTAGCGTTAAAATGCTTACCACCCTGCTTTTAAGCACAACTGCTGCACAATCAGAGGTGCTTGCAGTGTTACTGTGCTATCATTGCTGTGCTGTGCCTGAGGCGGCAATGCCGCTTTGCACAGCAGTGGCCATAAGCAACAAACCATAAGCACTTAACACAGTGTTTGGTCCTACCTCTGGCCACGTTGGGGACGGCCAGCTTTGGACCGTTACCGTCGCGATAGGTTCCACGCGTTAGGCACGGTAATGGCATGCACCACAGCCATAGACTGTTCCCTGAAGCCTGGCGGCTACATAACACTTGTCAGGTAGATATTATGGATATAAAAATATATCATGTGTATTTCTTGCAATAACTCGCAGCACGATTCACAGTGCAGCAGCTCCATCTTCAAGTTATGCATTATATATATATATATATATATATATATATATATATATATATATAGTCAGAATATAGTTACAATCAACAGTTCTATTACCAGTCAGCGGCCGTATTCACTCAGTGTTCCATCCCAACTCTGCTAAAAGAGTTGGTGGCAGCGGGATTCGATCCCGCGTCTGGACATCGCGGCGCGCGGCGGGTCTACGTCTTGCTTATAACTCGAAAAGCAGTGCCACGGCGCACACTTTTGATCCCGGAAATTGAAAGACAGCTGTTCAAGCTTCATTTCTATGTACTTTTTGTGCATATATGTGTTGAAGATTTAGAAAGCCGTAGGCTTGAAGAAGAGCATTTTAACATGAGAACCCTATGGCTAGTCGTGAAATGTGCGCCGTTGCTGCCATATTTGATACCAGACTTTGGACCCCCGGCTTTTACCCAGCTCAGTTTTTGCCAGCGCGTGCTTTTACAGACTGTCACTGATGAGGCGCGCCTATTCGAGGACGTCGGGAGGCAGCGCATGGATTACGGGCCTAATGCTACGTTCATAATACTTTCAAGGCCATGTCATACTGACAGTGCATGGTAGAGAGAGAGAAAGAGAGAGAGAGAGAGAGAGAGAAGAGAGAGAGAGAGAGAGCGAGAGATAGAGAGAGAGAGAGAGAGAGAGAGAAGAGAGAGATAGAGAGGAGAGGAGAGAGAGAGAGAGAGAGAGAGAGAGAGAGAGCGAGAGAGAAGAGAGAGAGAGAGAGAGAGGAGAGAGATAGAGAGAGAGAGAGAGATAGAGGAGAGAGGAGAGAGAGAGAGAGAGAGAGAGAAGAGAGAGAGAGAGAGAGAGAGAGAGAGAGAGGAGAGAGAGAGAGAGAGAGAGAGAGAGAGAGAGAGAGAGAGATAGAGAGAAGAGAGAGATAGAGAGAGAGAGAGCGAGAGAGAGAGAGAGAGAGAGAGAGAGAGAGAGAGAGAGAGAGAGGAGAGAGAGAGAGAGAGAGAGAGAGGAGAGAGAGAGAGAGAGAGAGTAGAGAGAGAGAGAGAGAGAAGGTAACAAAAAAAAAAAAAAAAAAAAAAATATCAGATCGGTTGCGGATTAGTCACAGCACTTCGCGAAACCCGTTTCCTCAGCGCTGCGTAAAGACGAGGTATGCGGCCGGAGCCGATGTCCGCCTGAGCCCACCGCAATGACGTCACGCACCACAGATGAGCGATAGTAATTCCCCCGACATTGCGGTTGCTCTTCCGTGCAGCCCATAAATACCGACCTGTGTCGGCAGACGCCATCAGTTGTGCCGCTGACCTCGTCTGGAGCCCGCCGTCCGTCGCCCGGAGCGCCGTGCCTCGCCGCCAACTGAGCCGAGTCGAGCCATGCTGCTGCTGCCGCTGCTGCTGCCCATCCTCTGTTTTCTGGCGACGCCGGGAGCCGCCGCCGTGCCGTCCTCCCGCAACAGCGCGATTCTGTTCCCGGGCCCCATCGCCTGCACGGCGCCCAGCGGCCAGCCCGGCGTGTGTGTGCTGCCGCGGGACTGCCCGGCCGAGCGGGGCCCGCCCAGCACCGAGGCCTGCGGCTTCGAGCGGGGCAGCCGCCATCTTAAGCACTGCTGCGAGCAGACGGCGGTCGAGTCGGTGCTGCCGGAGGACTGCGGCCGCGGCGGCTTCAGCAGCCAAGGCGGCATCGTGCCCAACATCGTCAACGGCCGGCCGGCCGAGCGCGCCGGCTGGCCGTGGGCGGCCGTGGTGGGTCTGAAGCAGTCCGATGGCAGCGTGCGCTGGTTATGCGGCGCTGCGCTGATCGGCGCGCGCCACGTGCTGACGGCCGCCCACTGCCTGGTAGCCGCGCCCGACGAGCTGGTGGTGCGGCTCGGTGAGCACGACCTGAGGACGGCCGACGACGGCGACCACCAGGACCGCAACGTGAGCCGGGCAGTGCGCCACCCAAGCTTCCACCGCAGCCAAAACGACGTGGCGCTGCTGGAGCTGGACCGACCAGCGCAGCTGAGCGACGCCGTGCAGCCCGTCTGTCTGCCGGAGCCGTCGCAGGCGCTGGCCGGCCGCGCCGGCTGGGTGGTCGGCTGGGGGGCGCTGAACTTCGAGGGGCCGACGGCCAGCGTGCTGCAGGAGGCACTCGTGACAGTGCAGCCCGTCGACGAGTGCGAGGCCACGTTCAAGCAGGCGCCGCAGTACAGCTTCCGGTTCCCCGACGGCTTCGCCGGCCGCGTGTTGTGCGCAGCCTCTCGTCGCGGCATGGACTCGTGCACCGGCGACTCGGGCGGCCCGTTATCGTTGAAGCGGCCCGACGGACGCTACCAGGTGATCGGCCTGGTGCTGGAGGGAATCGGCTGCGGCAGCCTCTTATACCCCGGCCTGTACACGCGCGTCGCCAGCTACGTCGACTTTATCCGGAAGGAGGCGTCACGCTCGTGACCGGCCCGTGCCGCCGTCGGTCGCTGGCGCACGGCGACACCGCACGGCATCCATCACGTGAGGTATGCCCCAGGGCGTTGTGATCGTGTTATTTAATTTATTGTTGCGCGTTAGACTTGTTGACATGATGTGTGTGAAACGAAAGCGTGATTATTGTGATGCCGAGTTGTGATACTGTGAACGTGTTGGCGAAAGCGTACTATACGACTTTGTTTGTTGTCATCATTATGGAACAAATATACCGTAAGTGAAAAACTGCATTTCACCATTGCACCAATTAATTCTAATCCATCCAAAGTAGTACGCTGCCTTTATGACGCAAAAAGCACGTGCCTTTTTTGCTTTTCGGTTTGGCCGCGGTTACTGGATCTACAAACTATATGAACTTGGCAACCAGTGACGTGGTCTCGTGGACTAGATTTCCTGCTGCATGAGGCGTCTTTTGGGCTAGATTGCTGGGTTAGTTTAGTTTTCCTCAATAGTATGTCCTGTCATGGAACATTAATGTAATTCAATCGAAGAGCTTGTGTAGGCTATAACATCAGGATGGACTTTCGCTATTTAAAGATGTAAAGAGGGTAACTCGGAACAATTTAGTAAATATTTCTGTAGCATGCCAAATATTTCAGTACTGCTTAATTTGGTGCCTCTACAAAATTCATCATTGTGGTCGTTGTCATGGCTATGGGTCTCCACAAACTTGTATCACGGCATAAGTTCGTGGATTAAAGCTTAAGATGGATGCGTGTGTTTTTTAGCCGATTCACATCGCTTAAAATCCCCTGTGATGCGGTGCACTGTGAAGCGAGAATACGGTGGCCACCGCCTCATTGTTATTTATCAGTGAAATTAAGACAAGATGCGTAGTACGGCATGGTTTCGTGTTCGCCAACATAAAGTCGGCAGACACAAAAGTTTTGGTGTCCAAAATTTTAAAGCCAGGAGTTGTTCCATGAAGTTTATTAAAAAAGGGTTCTGAACGTCATCTAGAGTTTCATTCATTGTATTTCGAGAAAGACCCATATCGAATCCCCGTACGCAAGCCCGATGTGAACAGCTCGAAAGGACGCACTTCCAGTGGTGGCACCAGGCCCCCTGGGACAGGTTAGGCGCTCAAGCGAGAGCTGGCTGTTCAGGCACATACGTGGCTTATCCATGCTTTTTCTTTAATGTGCTCTGAAACAAATTAAGCCTCCCCTGATAAGACGGTCGATGAGGCGGAGAGTGCCGTCGAGGTGCATTTTCTTCCCTAACGCTTTTTATAATATTCGTCCGGCATGCTGTGCAATGATGCCAAAGTTTACTGTGCCATCTGGGGTATTCCTTGGGCGCGACAACAACAATTTTGTTGGACAACAAAAGGCGTGTGCATATTACCCGGCTTCTGAAAGATGACCTTGTTAGGAACACCGCACGGCAGCCTTTGGCCGATGTGGGTGGCGGACGACAACCAGTGAGCTGTTACAGCAGCAGACCCCTACATCATGCATATATGCTGAAAACACACAAAACTAGATGTCATGTGCTCAGAATGAAACAGTTGACACGTTTGTGTAACTTTCATGGCGGGATGGGTCGCGTCGACTCCCCCCCCCCCCCCCCGTCCCCCCCGCCTCTTCTCCTCATCAGTTCGTGTTATGAAAAACAGCGAATCCGGGCGAGTGTTGAGCTCTCAATTGGCGTCCAGGCGTATGAATGCCGCACCCTACTCACCTGTATATACGCTAAAATTTTGACGAGCGCTTGTTTCAAGAGCGGCTGACAATGCCAAATAACAGCCCAAAATTTTAATGGCTGGACAACGCGTTGACAGAAACTTGGCTGCAGCCAATACTTTAGCTCCAAAACGACACCTGCCGAGCTAGCAGCATATATGCATGAAATATTCGATAAATTGTCTGGACTGTCACGATGTAGCTAAAAATTGGCAAGCTAAAACAACTACAACCATGCATCTCGAACTGCCAAAAACTAAGTTGGACACACAAAACTTCGCGAGATGCTTGCCCAAACATAAGCTTTAAAAATTTGGGCCCTGTACTACAAGTACACATTTTGAACTCCATTAAAATGGTCCGCTCTGATTGACTCTGAGCTTCAGCCTAAAATGTGTCAGACAGCTGCACGTGCCTACCTGACCTTTCCAGGTTTTAAAACGCGCAAGCTTGATATTATTATCATAGCAACTTTTAGCCAGACCGTGAGATTCCTGAATGTCGATGTAAAACTTGACTTCTCAAACTGCTGCTAGTTTGACAGGCGTTCCAAAACTTCGCTGAGGCTGGGCCAGGCATGCTTTCTTAGGGCATGCTACATTTCAAATCCAGTAAGCACAGCTGGCATTGCAACACGCATAACGCTTCGGGAAGCAAGATGTAGATATCTAGGAAAACTAGATGAGTATTTTAAGTCCATAAGCGGCCCAAGCGCCGTCTATAAAACAGGTGTTGGTATCAGTGGCGCCGCCTAGGTTAGCCTTGCAACACCTGTGCACCACGGCTTGCAATTCAAATTTAAGGGACTGTGCTTCCAAAGCACACCAGACGTGCGAAACAGCACACATTTTTCCTGATGTTGAAATCGTCTCAGTCGTCTGTTTTTCTCAATCCGCCCAAAGGCTGCCGCAGAAAAAGACTCTTTCCTACAGGCTTGCAATGTTGTGGCTCGTCCAAGCGCCCCTCAGGCCTTGCTCGTTCTGTCGTCAGCACTATTGTGGCAATGCGTGACGTCACAGCTGACAATGTGTGATGTCATGCGTGCTGACGAAGCATTCGATGTGTGGACTGACAGGAGAGTATTTAACTCCGCATTTCTTTCTTATTTTACGTGTTGCTTCAATCCACGCGCAAACTGGTTTACCGACGACCACGACACGCTACCTGTCAAGTGCTGTTTGGAAGGGTGGCTTTTGTTCCGCTGTTATCATCTATCCCATCCGTATGTTGAGCGCTTCTTCTCATCTCCAAATCACTTCAATTTCTTCCCTCTCATTATAGGTGTTTACTTACAGCACCATTAAGTTACTAGACAATATAACCACACACCACACCAATCACTGTCACTTACCTTTTCATAGCGACTCTTGGCATTCAATTTTCTCCGCATTTTACGTCGCATTTCCCACAAAATTAGAGGCTAGTGCCCTTACCCCAACCTAACGTATTCGCCGACACAAAAGCTACCAAATTAATTTCCCGCTCCAGTTAGACTGATGCGTTAATCTGGTAGCGCTTTCCCTCCATGCTGGCGGGCTGGCAAAAAATTCCGTCATCAGCGTCAGGCGGCGCATGACGTATCGGGCCACACGACTTTGTGGTCACATGACGTGACGTGACGTGAAATACTGGGCCGTGATTGGTGCTGATAAGCGTGCTGGCGACAGACCGAACGCGGCCTCGGTAGGGTCACGGCGGGTTCGCCAGATGAACTTTGAGTGGCCCCGTTCGTTCTGTCGTCAGCACGACTGTCAGCTTGAATGTGCGACGTCGTGCGTGCTGGCGGAGCGTCCGGTGTGCGGGCTAGCAAGAATTGTTTTTTTAACTTCACGTTTCCTTCGTCTTTTGTCTTTTACTAAAGCCTGCTCACCAACCGGCTTACCGGCTTACCGCCGATCATGACAACTACCTACGAAGCGGCGTTTGTAAGTGTGGCTTCTGTTCCGGTATTACCACCATCTATCTCATTCGCACATTGAGTGTTTATTCCCATATCCAAATCGGTTCAATTTCTTCCCATTATTTTAAGTGTTTACTTACAACGTTATTAATTTACTGGGCAATAGAACCACGCACTCCACCAATCACTGTCACTTGCCTTTTCATGGCTACTCTTAGCATTTCAATTCCCTCTTTATCTATCTTACGTCGCATTTTCCCCAAGCTTGGAGACGGGTACCCCCACCCCATCTATTCGCCTCCATCCCACCTGACAACAGATCGAACGCGGCTAATTGCGCCGGGCTTGGCATCATTAACATTTCCCAGCAGCATGCCATTCTCTCTCAAATTACGCATACGTACATACATTGTGAAATATGCAACCGTATTTTTTCGGCGATGGCTGGCCGTGCCGCTGAGAACACATCGCACAAGAACACACATGTCTATGGCAAATGGTTGCATTTTTATCCACATCAAGTTGTCAGCAATGATAATCCGTTTCATTCTACGAGAACATTGCAGACAAGAAGGAACACGAGTTGTGCGGTGGCGAAGGAGTGACGGACTGCAGGTTGTGGCTGTTGTTGGCACTAAGCAGGTGTCGTCTAAATACAATAAATGCACATCACATGGCAATATGAACATTATTAAAGTATAACATCTCGAAACCAAGTGAAGATGCCACAGAGATACAGCAAACTTGATCGCTTGAACTCTGGAAGTGTCACAAGGATCATTAAAAATATCCGCTCTAGTGTTGCTTGCCAAGAAAGCATCCCCAACGCTTGACAATGTGCAAAACAGACCGCTCTGTACTGTCTGCACACCAGTGCAAGGTACAGTGAACGGAGATCGGCTGACAGGGGATCGGCGGAGGCACAAGCAAGCAACACAGGCAAGCGTAGCAAATTTTGAAAGTCCAGTTAACATTCGAAGATGTTTCTCAGAAAAGGCAAATCGTGCTGCATTCTTCGTGTTGTTAGGGATGGAATTTTGAAGTGAAGCAGAAGATGAAGTGTGTGAAGCCACGATGACAACGTGTTTTGGAAGGTCTTTTTCAAGCATATTGCATTTGCTTGTATCGCTTGCTTTTACATATGTCAATGTTGTGGTACGCTGAAAACCATCGTGTGAAAATGTATCCAAAATATATAATTGATTAATGCGACACGTGTCTTCCGTTTAGTACTTTTCATGTGACGTCATTTTACTTCCATGAGACAATCTCTTCGCTGTCAGCGAAACGCGCACTCAACGTACTGTTTAAAACGTATATTTCAAGCAATGTTCGTGACACTTTTCACTCCATGAATCGAGATGAAACAAACCGCACGACGAACTCCCGGTGTAAGACGAATCTGTCCGCCTGGATCTCGTGTCAGCCGGGAGCAGCCGGCGACAGCGTCACTCGTGTGACCTTGGAGCGCCCTCCGCTGCCGCCGCACAGCTCGTCTTCGGCGCCGGAGCGCCCGTCACCGCGCCTTGGCCGGCGTACAGCTGGTCCGCGCGGCGTGTCGCCACGGCTCGTTGATCGGAACGCCCTGCCAGAAGCGCACGCGCTCCTCGAACAGCCGCTCTCCGACGGACGGCTCCGAGTTGAGCCGCATGTGGCGCTGACCTCGCCGGGTGAAGCTGGATCGGTCGGGCTCGGCAGCACGCCAGAGCTGGGACGGCCGGTGCGGGCGAAGCTGGTCTGCAGCCTCACCATAAAGCGG